ATTATTTTTATCATTTAATTTGCTACAGTGCACATGTCCTTACCAGAGAGAGAGAGAGACAGAGAACGCACGAGAGAGGGAAAGTGAGAAAGCAAGCTGCCAAGCCTGGGACTTGAACTGTGGTTGACCATGTGGTAGTCCAGTGCCTTAACTACCATGTCATCTGCTGGTGCTAGCGCCTTTACTTTTAAGAACTGGTCTAAACAATAGGAGCCGGATAATCCAGGTCCTATGTGTAGTGGTTCAAGAAACTGAGTTTAGACTGAGTTGGGGTCCAGTCTTCTTGGTGTGAGTAGAGAGGTAAAAATCAAGGGTATTTGTTTCTTTCGATTTAAATCATTTCCATTTATGTAATTTAATCTGCATACTTCTCTGACCAATGTTCTGGCGAACCAGTTGAACCACTCACTGATTTCTCTAGGCTTCCCTGGCCGCTGTGCTATTCAGTTTCCAGAAACTGCCCATTTGGAGGTTTAGACAGGTGCATGTGCTTTGCAGTTCCCTGCTTCTGGGGCTACTCTGGTGCCTGGAGGACAGTGGGCAGTGTCACCAGGACCACCCATTAGAGCTGGGACTGGGGCCTAGAGCCAGTCTGGCTCCCTGAGGCTCACTGCTCCCCCGCATCCCCAGCAAGCCTCTAACAGCCTGTGCCCCATGTTAGGGCTGTGCAGAGCCCAGCTCCCCGTCCTGATGACCAGCTCCCTGCTCATTTCCTCACCCCCTGCACCTTTGACGTGGTCCTTACTGGGGCTCCTTCTTCACTCCCTCTTCCGTCCAGGAATCCTGGAGCTTTTATGGCTTCAGGCATCACATGGCATCACGCCTCCCTTCTCTTTGGCAGCTGTCATGGCTACCAGTTGCTCAGTGGGGATCTCGTCCTCCTGTTCTGGGACACTTTCCAGGATGGCTTTACGGTAGGCCTGCCACCATTACAGTTATCAGGAGTCTTTGTTGTGCCCTGGTTGCGAAATTCCCAAAAGACCACCAAGGAGCTGATTCCGATGCAAGCACACAAGGGTCACTTTTATTTGGGCTCGAGTCAGGACTCTCAATTGTCACCTACACAGTGGATCGGAGTTGAGAGCCCCGGTGTTAGTTGGGCTGGTTTTTTATGGCTGTTAGTGTGGGGAGTGGAGATTGAGGGGGGCTGAGGAATGCACTCAGGCGGCTATACGTGGCTGTAGATTACAAGAAGCATAGTTGTCTTTTACTGATTGGTTGTCAGACTGTTAAATTGCGCAAGAAAGTTACTTCAGGTCTCTGGTATTTCTTTTGTTTTTCTCATTGGTCAGCCCTGGTAGGGTGATGATCTTATGACCTCCTACATGATCAGCTCGCCTCTTTGAAATGGCGCCAATTCTCAGTAAGGTGGGTTTAACAAAATGGAGTCACTCTGGTCCTTCATCTTCAGCTCTGATCTTGGGTGTAGGCTAAATGTAGAGTCTATAGTCACCCATGGGTGCCTGACCAGAGGCTCCTGACACCTTCTCATGCAGACCAGACATGACCACTCCACACCATGCCACTGTATGCTTCCCAGAGCTGGCTCTTCCCTCCATCTGTCATGGGAACAACTCCAGTTGCATTTCTTGATGAGTCTGACTTTTTATTTGAAAAGGTTTTTGCAATAGGATGTGTGTGCTCACCAGAGAGACAGAAAGTGAGAAATCACCCCCCAGGAGGGTGGGCCACGCCACAATCCCTTTTCCCTAGTCTCCTCTTGGAACTTTGGGCACACATGCACACACGCCCAGTGTGAGTTTCAAGTTGTCAGGTACGGAACTCAAACCGTGGTTGACTATGTGGGAATCCAGTGACATAACCATTACGCCATCTGCTGGTTCCCCCATAGGAACTTTTGATAAAGAAATCAAGTTCACTGAAAGTCAGGCCAGGATCCTATAAGAATTAAGCCCAGATCCAACTGTGGCAGCGCAGTGGTAGCATACTGCTCCAAGATGCTGAAGTCATGAGGAAGATTGGGGTCCCATACCTGGGTCACCTTGTACAAAGTCAGGGGTGTGAGTGTGCATGCCTGTAATCCTGGCTGGCTGGGAAGGCTTAGGCGAGGACCATGGCATGAGACCCTGTTGGAGGTGCCTGTTTCTCTGTCTCTCTCTCATAGAGACAATGAATAAATAAACTTGAAGAAAAGAATTAAGCTCATGCGCCAGCAGATGATGATGAGGTTAAGGTGGCTAGATTCCATGTTGCCAACTGCGTGGTTCAAGTCCTAGGCCTGGCAGCTTAAAAGATCACACTGGGCACATGTGCATAAATGGCCCAAATCCTGAAAGAATGCTGGGAAAGAAGGGATTGTGGCATGGGAGTGGCCTCTCACTTTCTCTCTCTCACTCTTGCTCTCCTTCTCCAGCAAGTGCACGTGCCCTATAGCAAATTAAAACAAGAAAAAAAAAAAAAAAAAAAAAGCTCAGATGAATTAAGCTCAGATTTACACCTAGATCTGATCAAGCAACATGATTTCTTTTTACAGATTAGTATATTTTGTGTCCAGAATCTGGTATGTACTTCAGTGATTAGAGTGAAAATCTCTCAAGAGCAGGACCTATAACTTCCTAACAGGCTGCACAGGAAAGTGTCAAGGCCTCAAAGGGCACCCAAGCAGCTCTAAAGGTATAACTAACTGCCCAGTAGAACGGGAGAGACTTAGAGACCACAGAGCTTCTGGGGGACTCCGGGGCTCAGGAATTCACCTTTCAGTGAGATACAAAAGGTGAGAGGTGACGGCCTCCAACTAAATGAATTCACTTTTCCTCCCTGGGCTTCTTGGACTTGGGAAAGATTTGTTGATCTGGACTTTTCAACCAGAAGTTGAAGAAAGGCTACAGCAGCAAGATGTCCCAGCTATCCTCAGAAGGCAGTTTCCACAGCAGGTCTCCTGGGAGATGTCACAGTCAGCGGCAGAGCGTTGGCGGACAGGCCTGAGTTCTCTCTGCCCACCAGAGAGCCGATGTCATAGATCAGGTGTCCTGGATTACAAGCCTCGCGCTCTGCGTGAGGCTGATGACCAGAATTCCTCCATATCTCACGTTGGTCCTGCAGGCACCACAGTAGTTTCTATTAAAACCATGTAAGACTATGTCAGAGTGTTTATTTTTTACTTATGATTTAAGATATTTCTTTTTGAAATTTCTTTTTCTTATTTTTTTTAGAGAGAGATTTTCGCTATGGGAAATTGCCCTCCAGGGAGATGGTCACACTGCAATCCATTTTCCATTTCTCCTCTTGGGATTTTGGGTAGGCATGCACATGCACCCAGCATGAGTTTTAAGCTGCCGGGTATGGGATTCGAACCACGGACAACTAGGTGGGAGTCCAGTGAAGCAACAATGATGCCATTTGCTGGTCCTATTATTTAAGATATTTCTAGAAATTCTGGAATAGAATGTAATAATCAGCAATGTTTTTTGAAACTAAATTCCTAGGGAATTTATAAAACTTTTATTGGATTTTTTTTTTTTAAGCTTTTTGCTGTAAGGCACGTGTGCTTACCTGAGATAGATAGAGAGGGAAAGTGAGAAATCACTCCTTGTGGAGATAGTCATTCTCCTCTTGGGACTTTGAACACTCAGCACATGTGCCCAGTGTGACTTTCAAGCTGCTGGGTCTGGGGCTTGAACCACATCAGCTATGTGGGAGTCCAGTGCCTTAACCACCATGCTATCTGCTGGCCCGTTCTGTTTTTTGTGGGGAGAGATTTTTCTATAGGGCATGTGTCCTTGCCAGAGAGACAGTGACACAGAAAAAGAAATTGAGAAATCACCCTCTGGGAGGATGGTCATACCACAATTCCTTCTCTTCCATTCTCCTCTAGGGATTTTGGGCATACATGCACATGCACCTGGCATGAGTTTCAAGCTGCCACATCCAGTACTTGAACCTCAGTGGGCCATGTGGGAATCCAGTGCCTTAATCACCAAGACATCTGCTGCCCCCATCCCTTTTTAAAAGTGTTTGCTGTAGGACATGTGTGCTCATGTGGCCACTCAATCTTTTCTCCTGCATTCTCCTCTTGGGATTTTGGGCATGTACCCACACCCACATGCACATGCACCCAAGCATAATTTTCAAGCTGTCAGGTCCAGGACTCGAACTGTGGGAGTCTGGTGCCTTAACCACTATGCAACCTACTGCCCCTCCCTTGTTTCCTTTTTGTTTTTTTTTTTTAAAGGTTTTCACTATAGGGCGCGTGCGCTCGCCAGACAGAGAGAGACATAGAGACAGAAAGCGAGAAATCATCCCCCAGGGGGGATGGTCACGTTGCAATCCCTTCTCCTCCATTCTCCTCTCGGGATCTTGGGCACGCACGCACATGCGCCTGGCATGAGTTTTAAGCCACCGGGTCCGGGACACGAACCGCGGTCGACTATGTGGGAGTCCAGCGACATAGCCACTACGCTAACTGCTGGTTCTCCCTCCCTTGTTTCCTAAAAGGTACCCACTTATCAGTTTGTTCTTTCTTTATTCATTCAGTAAACAACTGTTGGATATTTACGTGCCAGGAATTGTGGGGATACGGACTGTAGTTAAGACAGAATCTTTTATTTTTAATAAGCTTACATTCCACTAGGGGGAGCCAAATATACACATAAGCATAAGAATTGGGTTGAAGATGTTAGAAGTCTGTGGAAGGTGTGAGCGGGGTGGAGTGAGAGACATTAGAGACAGCTTGGACAAATCTGCCCCAGAATTGGTAAGAAGTCTTACAATGAAGGAGCCTCACTGAGCACGTTATGAGACTCCTTACACAGAATAAAGAGGTTGATAAGTGGGCACAGAATTGTCAGGCTTTTTGCATGACATTAATCAGGGTGACCCTGGATGAGACTTTTGGCCTGGGTCTCGCTTCTTGCACATACTCCATCTCACTGCCACCTGATCTGAGCAAAGATGTCCCTGCAAGTACAACGTGGGTCCCTCAGAGAACAACATGCACCAGCAAAGCCTGAGCCACATAAGCAATGTCCAAGTAGCATGGCTTTAGAAACGATCTCTTCTCTTTTATTGCCACATTCATATAAAAAGTTTTGATATATTTGGGTGGGTAAAAGAAAGCCACAGTGTATATGAAGGAAATTATAGGAAGTTTAAAAATACATGGTTTTAGGGGTTGGGAAAGCAGTTACAGATTGCTTCTTCCGGTTACTTATCCAGGCGATCGAAATTCTGGGTTTGAAACTCTTGGAAGTCCTCTGGGATTGTGTCTGCAACAAGAACAGGCACAGGGAGGTTACAAGGACCCTTCCACCGGGAATTCTGGTTCATCGCAGGCCGTGCAGGCATCCTGTAGGGGGCACTGTATGCCTGCTCAAGAGACCCCGCCAGGCCCGGCAGCCATTTTCTGCTTCAGGCTGCTTTGTATTCTGCCGGCCTAAGCCTGGAAGCGCTCATTCAGAGGCCTAGAGAAAATTAGCACGCAGAGTGGATTTTTGAGTCTGTGATTACGAGTCATGAAAATAAAGGGTGCCTGTAAATTAAAATCGACCGTATTTCTCACTGAACCCCCAAACCCTAAGTTATGCCATGAAATCCTATGGGTCCCAATTTCCACATCTATAAAATAAGGAAAATGAGATCTACTTTTCACTTCTGTTACACAGGGACTATTAGGCTTTAATGAATATGTGGCAGGAGTTTTGGGCTTTGGGAGAAAAAGTGTGCTATAAAAGTAAGGTGTCGTTACTTGATTAATTCTAGTAATAATACTGTGCAGTAATAAGAATGTACGTTACCGTTGCAGCGATACTTGAGGTTGGACCAGATGATGTTTTCTTGAGAGAAGCAGAACACACCGAGTCGGCCTCCACGCATGGTAGTGTCTATGGTGACTCCAGAGTCAGCCACCAACTCAGAGCCTTCATAGAACCGCACCCTGCAGATGACATGGCGGGGGTCCTCAGTGAAACCCACCTCAGGAGGAAGTGACCATTGTGAGCCCGGACACCCCACCTCCCATCTCTCTGCGTCTCAACTCTGCTTAGTGCTCCATTTTCACTGATCAGAACTGCTCAGGCTGTTCCCACTTCCCTACTGGATTGGCATCTCCTAGAGGACAGGGGCTGTGTACCCACATCTTTCAAAAGGCCCGAGGGGCCAGCAGTTAGCGTAGTGGCTATGTTGCTTGATTCCCATGTAGGTGACCGCGGTTCGCATCCTGGACCTGGTGGCTTAAAACTCACGCTGGGCGCGTGTACGTGCGTGCCCAAGATCCTGAGAGGAGAATGGAGGAGAAGGGATTGTGGCATGGCCATCCCCCCTGGGGGGGAGATTTCTCGCTTTCTGTCTCTGTCTCTGACTGTCTGGCAAGTGCACACGCCCTATAGCAAATACCTCCCCCCACCCCCCACCCCCCAAAAAAAGGGAAAAGGCCCGACATCTGGCTAGGTGGTGGTGTAGTGGTAAACTGGACCCATGTGGGAAAGGTCCTGGGTTCATATCCTGGGACTCTTCACCAGGTGCACATCAGGTGCCTGATCTGGGCTGACAGAGATAGGAGGTAGACTGTGGCATGGGGTGCCTTCTCTCTCTCTCCTGGAGGAAATAAACGTAAAAAAAGCCCAAAGGGTGGGCACACAAACTTGACAGACACTTGCTGAAAAGTTAAGGAGACATAGTCTGACGTCATGAACGAGAGGCTTAGCTTGTGAGTTACTGGTCTAGACATTATGCTTAAAAAGCTCGGCTTTTCCTTCGGTCTGATTCATATTATTTGATGGAATCTCAGAACCATGATTCCTACACATGACAGCACTTCCTCAGGAGAGGTCTAGAAATGAAGGGCAGGTCCTTCAGATTGTCACAGTGGCATTGGCAGAAGCCGGAATGGCTTACCATGTCCTGGAGAGAACAATCAAACAACCTGGGGCGGGCGGTGGCGCCGAGGTGACACAACCAGACACATATGAAGAGCCCTGGCCCGTGACCTCACTGAGCATGTGCAGTGTGCGCTCACGTGCCTGCAATCCTGGCGGCTGAGACAGACTGCAGTGTGAAGGCCCTGCTGTGATTGCCGGTCTCTCTACTTCTGCCTGATTCTCTCACTCTCATGGAAAAAATAACAAACTGAAAAAGAAAACAAAACCAAAAACTTGTCCTGCATCCCTCTCGCTTTTGGAGTGTTCCTCCAGATACTTGGGAGATGAACAACCTGTTTATAATTATAATTAGGAGGGCCTATCACTACCCCCTCCTTTTTCTCCCCAAAGAATTATTTAATTTTATTTATCATTATTATTATTATTATTGTATTTTTAACTTGCTACAGGGCACATGCGCTTATCAGAGAGACAGAGAAGGAATAGTGAGAAAGCAAGCCACCAGGTCTGGGACTCAAACCATTACTGGCCATGTGGGAGTCCAGTGCCTTAACCACCACATCACCCGCTGGCCCCCTAACTCCCTTTTACTTGTAAACATCGAGTACACCGTATACTGATTTTAAAGTGAACTGCTGTTTTCCAGGGTAAACTGAGAAGCTACCGGGGACTTAGGTTTGAAAACGGTGAGTTGCTCACCATTCAGAAACTATCCTCCTTGACACCAGCACTGTCATACTGAAGCCGCCGGCACAGCAATGCCTAGTCAAAGTCACCTTCACGTTCTAGGCATGAACGCAAGTGTCTTTCATTCTCTCTTCTGTATTTACCTTACTTAGTTATAAGTCGATTTGTTCTTCTCAGTTACATTGTTGGGACTCAGAATGACTTTCTAAAAGTGTGTGTGTGTGTGTGTGTGTGTGTGTGTGTGTGTGTAGGTGATATTATTTGGTTTCACTCTGAGACAGAAGAGGGGGGCATTTCACAATATTTGTGATAGACAGGCACTGAGAGGTAGGGTAGCATACCCTGGCTGACACTGTTCCTCTGCAGGCTAAGGCCGTGTCGGAGGCTGGGGTCCAACTCCTGGCCCACCCTAGAAGCCGGCATAGTGCAGTCTGCCTGCAGTCCCAGCTACTTGGAGGCTTAGGCAGGAGGATGTCAGCATAGGAGAACTTGTCTTTAAAAAGGGGTGGGGGTGGGGCACTGGGCTTAACAGAGCTGAGACCATGGCCATCTTACAGTGAGGTGAAGTACTTCTGATGTAATGTCACAGAGAACAGCAACATACGAATGAGCCCTCACGACTTTGTCTTTTTCTGCACGGTTGCTTTCCTGCCCCGGTTGGGAGAATGCAATCAGTACTCCCTCCTACACGTGCTGTGTCAGCTGACATACGTGTTCATCTGTAAGACTGAGGAATGAAAAGGTAAGCACGCTGTCTAAACTTCAAAGATGTAGCCCTAAGCCATCCTAACTGCTGAAGATACTTTAAAAAAACAGTCCTCTAAAGTAGTCTGATTGCACTAACATGATGGTTGGTCTAGGCCGTGGGTAGTGCATGCTGGCTCTGCGCAAGGCATGGGAGGCTGCGATGAATGAGACGCAGGGGCTGCCTTCTAGGAGCTGCCAGTCCAGCAGGGAAGACACGGTGCATTCAGTGTGTGGTACGCACTCCTGAGTGATGCCCAGGCCCCAGAGGAGTCTCAGGGGAGGGTGGGGTACTTGGCCACTTCTTACCTGACACTGGTCAGCACGTCCACTCTCAGTCTTCTCTGAAGAGCATGGCAGAAGGCACCGCCATCTAACTGCACCAACCTTCCAGTGCCGATGCCTTCTCCCAGCATGCCCTTCTATCTCCCATTTTGGCCCCATTGTCTAGGTTGTCAGGCCGAGACTGAGTGTCTTCTCCCCCACCACTTTTCTAGATGCCCTACCTACTCTGTGGTCACAGAAGTCCTGGCGTGCCTGTCCTCGAGGACTACCCTAGGGCAGGCCTGTGCAGGGAACCAAGGGCTCCGGGATGCAGATGGGGGTACGTGCGTGGTGAGGAGATATGGCCTCTGCCTACCTGATGTAGCCCACCTGGGGCCTGTGCTGCAGGAACCAGCGGTAGGACACCTTGTCCTTCCAGCCCACGTTCCTGGAGTCCTTCCACAGCAGCCTGACCTGGTCGCTGGTGTCCCCTGTGTGCCACAGGGAGTTCCGGAGATGCTCCCCTGGACCGGTCTTAGACTTCACAGCCTGGACAAGGGCACGAGAAAGGTTTTAGAACAAGACCGCAGGCCACCCTTCCTCATACTCCAGTGATAATGTGGTGGCCAGTTCATGGTTACAATCAGGCTGCCATGGACTGACAAAAGCATAACACTTAAATGCCATTGCTGCAGGGGTGACCCCTAACGCCACAGGGTTAACCCGCTACCCACTCCATGTTTTTTCTGCTATAGATCCAGCTCTCCCCACATGTGCCCAATGAGGGCTCCCACCAAATGCCTAGCTACCGAAGATGGCCTTCCGTCCTGACAGGAGTGAGTCAACCATCCTGTACAAAGCTGGTCCCATCAATGAAACTCAGTCCAAGTTTCCAACACTGTGCCCGAAGACACACTCCCAACCGTCTCCACCTCCTCGACCCTTCCTGGGCTGAACTTCCCATAATTATAGCCACCGGCAGGTTAGAATGCAGCTTGTGCCGAGAGATAAGGCAAGGCCCTGGGTCAGCTTTAGTCCTCCCTGACTTGAACATTAGTACAAACACATCTGTCTCTTAAACTAAGTGCCCTATGGGAGAACACAGAATTTAAGAGGTGGGTGAAGGACCCAGAAGAAAGGGCCAATACCTTGAGCTGAATGCCAGGTTCTGCAACAGCTCGGAAGGGTGTAGCTTGCCAATATGTCTGCTCTGTCTGCTTCCACATGACCACGTAGAAGCTGGAGCTATCTTGGTAGCCAAAGATAAAGCCTGCGTAGTCATCGTCTGTCTGGGTATTTACATGGAAGGTCCCTTCGAAATCGACTCCATTAAACGCTGTGTACCCTGCAGAGATCAGACGAGATGAGAGAAGTAGACAAGCCATACTCGTAGCTGTAAGAATTCTACAGGATTGGTAACTGGGGTCCTGACATACCTACTGCCAGGCCAGGATCGCTGTTCATGGTCTGCACAATCTCCATGCCCTGTGGAGAAAGTTGAAGGAGTTCAGTACAATCTTGAAGGGACTGAGTAAACTCAGGGAAGCCCAGAACCCTGGGCAGCAAGAGTGAGTAGACAGTGATGTCTGACCTCCATGTAAAGACTATTATCTGAGTCCCTGCTCTGTCCTGTTATGTGCTTGAAAAAAGCACATACTTGCAAAAAAAAAAAAAAAAAAAAAAAAAAAAAGGAAAAAAAGCTCAAAGCTGCAGAGAAATAATTTTGCTAAGACTATTACTTAAAAATTCAATATACCCCTGAACTGGGTGATGTGCAAGGTATACTTCTTTTTATTTTTTTAAAGAATTATTTATTTAATTGTATTTATTCGTTCATTTATTTTTAATTTAACCAGAAAGAGACAGAGAGAGAGAGAGAGAGAAAGTGAGAAAGCACCCCCTGATTGTTGGTTATGTGAGAGTCCTACGCCTTAATCTCCATGCCACCTGCTGATCCCTATAATGTATACTTCTTTTTTTTTTTTTGGAGAGATTTTTGCTATAGGGCATGTGTGCTTGCTGGAGAGACAGAGATACAGAGATAGAAAGTGAGAAATCAGCCCCTGGGTGGGTGGGGGGGGCGATGGCCATGCTGCAATCCCTTCTCCTTGTGGGATTTTAGGCACACACGACATACACCCCGTGTGAGTTTGCAGCCATTGGGTCCAGGACTTGAACTGTGGCCAGCCGTGTGGGAGTCCAGCGATGTAAACACTAGCCAGCCATCTGCTGGTCCCTACAATTCATACTTCAAACGAATGAGACTTGCCCTGTAGCTCTGGTAAGTCTAAGCCTCACTTGGCACAAGTGAGGCACTTCCTTCCTTAGTTCCACAATGAAGAAGACCCAAAGGAGGCAGTCTCTTGGAGAGATTAAGAGCGCGGGCTCGAGGTTCAGACTGCCTGGGTCCCAGTTCCAACCCCACTTACTGCAATGCTATCACTGACAACCATGAACGCTGTGAGACAGACATGGCTTATTACCTGTTTATGATGACATGTATAGTATTCTCAACTAGACTGGTCTGTGGTATATTTCATGTTGGGTAAATTCTCTATATAAGCTAAATGATGTATAGTCATTGAATGTATAAAAATAACAAATGAAAAAATAGAAAAGACTCAGTTTCATTACCTGTAAAACGGGCACGAGAGTACTTTTGTCATAGGGCTACTGGGAGGAACGCATGGGATGTGAATGGTGCCTGGCTTACTGTCAGCGCCCTCTAGGTGTTACCAAGCGTATCAGAAGGGCCTCTCCTCTGCTTGAGAGGCAAAGCTGAGCTGTTGCAACCAGGTGACTCTCACCTGGTTCAGGACCACCCAGTTGGGATCAATCTGTGCGTCCCCTTCGGGATCCAGGACCACCGTCTGGTAGGCCCTGAAATCAGTCAGGGTGACCTCTGCATTCTCTGGGCAGACGTCGATCCGATCGATGACCTGGTCCTGGTCAAAGTCACTCTCACAGATGTCTCCTACCCCATCACCTGAGTGGAGTGGAGAGAGGACAAGAACTCAGTAATGCCCATGCCCACCACCGCTCCTTGACAGAGTAAGAAAACAGCTCAAACGCCCACCTCCAGGGATTCACTCTTCAGCCAGTACTGGGAGAGGAGCCCTGGGATCAGACATATCTGAGTCAGCTCCAGGCCCGGTTCTGCAGTCCTGGCAATGAGAGTCCAGGCCAGCCCCCAGAGGGCACCACAGCCTCCTTAAGATCAGTGTGATCCACTCTGTCCCCAGAAGTTCTTATTACAAACAGCCGGGTTCACCAACTGGTAGATCTTAAGCCTGACCTTACATGAACAAATGCCCATAGCCCTTTCTGGACCATACTGTGTTAAAGACAGGGAAATTACTATTATTGCAAGAATATCTCTAAGACTAACTTCTGGTGGCCCCAGGCTGAATCTGACTGGCTGGCAATGTGTTTTTCTCAGCTGACATGACATGAAACATTCAATGTGTATTGCTGTGGATGGGCATGTGCCCCACAGTTCACCACAGTCCCCATCACTCCTGGTATGGGCGTGGTGCACACCTTCCTCATCTTCCTGACTCCTGCAGGCGTCCGAGTCTGAACCAGCCTATGCATTTCTGCAGTGCCATTCTATCTTGCTCCTTTTCTGGGACTCCCAATGGAAGGAGCAAGGAAGATGGCGGAGCGGCTCTCCAAGCCTGCTGGGGACAGCTGTGGAGTGTGGCTGCTTCCCTGCACTACGTGATCTTGTCCCAGGGCTGCTCAGGAAGAGGTCAAACAGATCAGCCCTGACCGAGCTAGAGATTGGTGTCTCCCTGGGGGACTGTCTACACCAGCTACAGCTACACAGAGACACTGGGTTTGAAGCAGCCTATGGGAGGTGGGAAAGCTGGGCGCTCTGAGTTGGTGCCCTGGAGAGCCGTGCCCCTGGGCGCCGGGCAGAAGAGGACTGCGCATCCTCAGTGGAGCCTGCTTACTGTTGCTGTCCTCCTGGAGTGGGTTGGGGACCAGCCGGCAGTTGTCTGGCCCAGGGGGCACCACGTCTGGGATGCCATCATTGTCATCATCATCGTCACACTCGTCCCCAATTCCATCCTTATCCGTGTCCAGCTGGGAACTGTTAATGACGGTGGGGCAGTTGTCGGTGCTGTCCTGGTGTCCATCTCCGTCACTGTGAAAAAAGTAAGGTGGCCCAGGTCATGGCTCCACAGGAGGCGGGATGGGACACACCTATTCTCAGGACAGAGTCTGTGTGTGGGGTTCTGTCAGGCCTTTTTTTAAAATCAAGCCTACTGGAGTCGTGTCCTCAGATAAGGCTACCCTGAGGGCTTCAGAGCCAGTTTTCTCACTTTATCTCTTGAAACAAGTGAGCCATTTCCGATTCAAGGAGAGAGGGGTCTATTTCTGTGATCTGTGACCAGATGCTTCTATGGGTCCTTGGGAGCTGCTAGCTAATACCTGGACTCAGAGATGTGTGGAGGGACTGGAGCAAGGGGCAGTGGAGTCACCTGGCCTTGGCGTGAATCCCAGCTCAGCCACAGACCAGTGTATGACCACGGGCATGGGAACTGACCTCTCTATGGCTTGGTGTCTTCATCTGTAAAATTGGATAACAGCAGCACCTATTCCACTGGGTTATTATGAAGATGAAATGATTAAAGTGAGCAGAATTGTGCATGCTAAATTTTAGCATATGAAAAAAGCACTTCCTAAGCGTCTAAGTCTTAGGGAGTTCTGAAGGGTTTTCTATCATACTACCTTTCACAATCCCTGACCAGTAGGCCTGACAGGATTGAACCTGAAAGCCATGGAGAGAACAGTAGAGAACAAGCTGGGGCACAGCACTGGTCTAAAGGACCTCCCAGAGAGTTGGGATTTGGGGCACATACGCACATGTACCTGGCATGATTTTCAAGCCTCCTAGCCCAGGACTCAACCCCCCAAATTGGCCATGTGGGATCCAGTTCACATAACCACCAGGCCGTGGGCTGGTCCAGGGCTGCTTTTAAAACATAAGATCAAGCTATTTCCATAAGCAACCATTCTACCTGGTAGAATGACATTTTTTTTCTGTGTTTCTCTATGCAAAAATGTGTTATGCCTTTGCTGACAACCCAATAGATAGATCTGAACATCTTTATGCAGACACAAGCAGTTCCTGTCCTCCGCTCCAAGGCTCAGGTTGTAGGAACTGAAATGTAGTCCAATGAGTCATTCGCTTCAGGCTGGCCGGATAGGCTATTTTAGAAATGACTGTACATGGTAATCAACGAGCAGCATGACCTGCAGCAGGGAACATTCTTGAAGTACCTTATTTAGGGCGGTTGTCAGGGTGCTAGTCCTACTTCTCCTCAGAAACAGAGAGCTATTGACATCAGACTCTGCCACTGCCTTGCCCTCCTTGTGCTGTGACACCGGGGAGAACACGGCACCCTTCTCTGCCTGTCACCTAAGGGTCAGCACTGCGCGAGCTACCCGACCTACATTACCTCAAGGTCTCATCATAACCTATGAGATGTGTCTGACTACCTCTACCTTGCAGAGGAAGTTCAAGTTCAAGTTCACTTAGCCAGTACGTACTTGGCAGCAAGGACACTGAGCATATTGAAGGAGCTGACCATGAGCGAGGTTTGGGTACAGAATGGGTTTCTGCAGGGCCACACCTGATCTAGGTATTAGAAGAGAAGCTAATTCTCTTCCTGATATGTCTTTAAAGATTTTTTTTTTCTCTTTTTCATGGTACAGCATATGTATGCGAGAAAGAGAAAACAAGAAAGCACCCCTCGATGAGGCCTGGTCATGGTGCAATCCTTCTTTCCCCAAGTCTTCATGCTGTCAGGAGCCTAGGCATGCACATGTACACCTGCAGGTTGCTACCAAGGCTAGGATTCAAACCCCCGTTGGCCATGTGGGATCTGGCCTCCTCTGCACCGTGCTTGACCACTATGCTATGTGTGGCCGGCCCCTGATTTGCTGTTAGAATCCTTTCCCTCTCATTTTTATTCTGGCTGCCACTGTAAGAATTCCTGGGGATGAAAGGCTTTAGAACTTGGATTGCAGGTACTTCTATGGCTGAGTGGCACGTGTCTGTTTTTGGTGACGTTCCTACAGCATCTGATCCAGCTCTGTGTCTTAGTGCAGGATGCCATTGTGTCGGGATAGGAGGGTGGACAAAATTCACCTGCACAGACCAATTCTACTCAAATAAAGGGAATGGTGAAAAAATTTTAAGGACAACGAAACAATAGCGATCCCTCAGCAAACTGACAGCCTTCTATTTTGGGATGAAGGTGAAATGTTCTTTTCTTGAGCTGAAAGAATGTAGTAATAACGGGAACGACTGAGTGCTATGCATTGTACACATATAACCGTCAGCACTTCCTGCAGATTAACTCGATCTTCATGACATTCCTAAAAGCTAGAGTTACTGTCACTCCCATTTTACAAATAAGAAAACTGAGGCAACGAGAGATTAGATAGCATGCCTAAATTTATCTAGCTTAC